TTGAGATTTATTCTACCTGGTTTCAAATCTCCTCCAATCCCGTCATCTATCACCATTCTGACCACAACCCAATGGTCACTAAAAATGTATGTCCCTTGATTCATGGTGTGATCCTCACCCATGTCACCCATGGAGAGGAACCAAGCAAAACACTCACTGCTCAGTTCTCAGAATCTCATTTCGGATAATCTAGTCTCTGACTTCAGCCCCCAGCTCCACAGCAGCACCCCAGAACCAATCACCTTCATGAAAAGCACCATGTTGAAAATCACCAATTCAGAACCCTTTTTCTAGTCCCTTATGGACCAGCGTTGACACTGCCCCATCTATAGTGTGAGACATCCGCTAAGTCAACTGCCCCAAACTTGTCTACAGAGTTAATGATCCAAAATACAAAGAGGGCAGGGTAACAAAAAAGACACAGCCACAAATCACACGCAGACTCTGATGAGAGGCAGAGAGGTTTAAAACACAGAGAGGACACTCGGGAGGACAAGGGGGTGGGGTATGAATATGGACAGTAAGTGAGATGAGATGAGACTACTGTTAATTTCTGTGATGTGGTAATGGTATCGTGTTCTAGAACACACCTCACCCCTCAGGTGCAGGCTGGACTACTTAGGAGTGGTGTGTGGTGATGGCCATAACTTTCTTTCCAACAGTTCAATAAAAAAAACAGAGGGAAAAAGGAGAAAGAGTGAGGAAGAGGAGGAAGTCAAGGAAAGGAAGAAAGGGGAAACCAAGTGTAGAGAAGTTTAAAAATACAAGTCAAGAGTATACAGGTGTGTAATTTATTATTCATTCAACATTTCCCTATGTCTGGAAATACCTAAAATAAAAGGACCAGACCATGCAAACACACACAAAAGTCCTCTCTGATAAAGCTTTTGAGGTAAACAATACATGCAGTTGACCCTAGCTAGAACAATACATGGGTGGGGGTGCCCCCCCACCCCCGTGGAGTAAAAGTCTGTGTATAACATTTAGCTGCCAAAAACCTTAACTTCTAATAGCCTATTTTTAACAGAAAAATAATAACTAACACATATTTCACAAGTTATATGTATTATGCACGAGATTCCTAAAGCAAAGCTAGAGAAGAGGAAGTGTCCAGAAAACCACCAGAGAATATATATTTCCAGTGCTGTACTGTAGTTATGGGGACCGTAAGTAAGCTACATCTGTTTCAAGATGAATCACCTATCACACCTCCATCAACTCTGCCTTATAGGAAGCAAAAACTGTAATGCTATATAGATTACTAACACCAGGTATCAAAAATGAAAAGCTAATGTGAAAAAGAAATTCCTATCTACTCCAGGTATAATGATTCACCCACTGAAAACAAAGCTACAGTAATATGACTACAATGTAATTTTTCTACATATCAAGAAGCATCCACGCCTAAGTGGACCCACGTAATCCAGACTCGCGTTTATCGAGTAATTTGTGTATGTGCCACTTCCCTATCTGTGCTCATCCAGCCATAACAAAAAGTATTTTCAGCCAGGAAGACAGTTTATCCAGTCTGAGACTGCACCACAGAGTCATCTGCAAGTTACTTGTCTACTTCGGCCAGGCGCACGGGGACAGGCCTGTGAGCCCCCTGCGCAGGGCCTTGCGGTGAAGACGCGCAGTTCCCATCCCTCCATTTTGTGGGCAGTACAGCTGGTCATAAAAGCATAAATGTCCTGGTGACATCTCACGATGCCATCTTTTAAGTCTGTAGGGCAGATTCCTGAACACTGAAGAGTTAGGTCCAAGAACATGTGCTTTTATTTTAACACCGAAGGCCGGATTATTTTTGGAAAAGAAAACAGCAAATCCCAACTCTAAGAGGCCTGAGTATCTACCAGGCCCTTATGTCTCCCCCACTAAGTCACCAGCCTGCTAACACACACAGCCGCCCTGTGGACTCATCTGAAGGAAGCACAGTGTGAGGGACTTTGAAGAGTCACCCAGGATCGCGCCCTGACGTAGGAGTGGAGGGGAGAGGTGAGCGAGGAAGGTACTACCCCCAGCATGATCTCAGCACCTGTGAATTTCCACCAAGTTACCTTTAAGCATTCTCCATACCAAGAACAGTAGAAGCTTCTTGAAATGGGGACAGTGTCACTTATTCCTATTCATCCAGTCAAGAAATATTAATATTAATCACCTCCCATGTGAGAGGCTGAGCACCAGTAATACACAATTAAACAAGATAAACACCATCGTGACCCTGGTGAACCTGACGTCCTTATGGGCGAAGCCAACATTGAGCAATTAAACACAACTAATTCCTTAATTACAGTCACGGTCAATGCTTTGGAGAAGCAGCAGAAAGCATACAGCCCCACACACAGGACCGAGGATGATTCGATATGGGCATTCAATAGTTTTACATATGGTTCACTAAATTTCACACACTGAAGACTGATGGTGATTTATGACTTAGGAGGTAGCGTTATAATTGGAATGAGAGAAGAAGATAAGGAGACGGAACTAAGCCCTGGATTCCACGACCCGCCTGGCGCCAGCCCTCCATCCACCTGAACGCAACTACTCCTCGCCGGCACCTCTAGGCAAAGAAAGACAGCACTCCATCTTTTAAATGTGGAATTTGATGAAAACCAAGTAGTGGGTCAGGACTGTAGCTTGATAAAAACACAGTGCCTGAATGGTGTCAGGACAAGGTGTGAGGCCTGTCTAACATTTCTATTTTATCAGTGATTAAAGGCAGCAATTTCAATCTGCACAAAATTCTATCTGCACAAGAAAAAACATTATGTTTGTATCCATGATTCCTACAAAGTTAGGAGAATAATGACAAGTCTACTTGGTGTTCCAGCCACTTAACTGAAAAAGGTACTAAGTATTCAACCTGTATAGAAGATGGAGTATGTGGAAAACAAGCTCCTTTCAGGACAAAGCATGAAGGTGTATTCTGAAGTATGAAAGAACATTCCCTTCCCAGCCCCACCACGCGGAAGGATGACTTTCATGACTTTCAGTCAAGGCCAGTCCTGACCCATTACTTAGACAATGTCCCATATCGCCGCCTTCTGCTCTATCAAAATTTAATAATTGGTAAAATATTCTTCTCAGACAAAGTCTCTCAAATTCAAGAATTTGTATTCAGGCTCGTGAAAGTGAAATCTGGTGAAGCAAAATCAAATAATTCAACAACCACAATAAAAAATACAAATATGGGGAGAGAACAAGAGGAGAAAAAGCTACAGAAAACTCTTAGCATCTTTTAGAGGCCCCCGAAACAATCGTCTGAAGCACCTCGTTTATGCTGGTTTGTGGCATTAATCATGCAGAGACAAACACACCTGTGTTCGGCGTGTGCCCAGACTCGCACTAAGTAACAGGGGTGAGATTACTTCTGCAGGAAAACAGACCCCTCGAGGCCTCCTCAACCAACGGATAGAGAAAATGTGTGCCTGGTACTTGAGGAACTTAGCGGGGTTTTAAAAAGTAGTAACTACTCCACAATAAGATGAAACAGGAACTAGAGTGTCAACTAAAAAGAAAAAAGTAAAGGAAATTTTTCAAATCTGTGGCTGTTCTGGATATCAGTGCTACTGATTTTATATGCCATCTAGCCCCTTGACAGCTTGGTGGCTTCCTTTTTCAGTGACAGAGGTAACTCACTAGCCGCTCGGATCGGACACGATCACTGCCACTTGCTCGTTAAGAAATGGGAAGAAAAGAGGGAGAGAGTAAATGAAAAGGCAGGTACAAACTCCTGGCCTAACGCGAGAAAAGCTGGACGAGGAAACCCGAGGAAAAGTGAGACTGCACAGATCTGTCAACGGCCAGAAAGGAGCAGGGAAAGGTCAAAGAGCGAGCACTGAATCGTGCTAGGTCCTGCTGTCCAGCTGCAAGGCCTGCCCGCCGGCAAAGGCGGTGGGTCACAGGGGCAGAGCAAGGAGCTCACTGCGGACCGGCTCGCCCCGTCTCAGGGCCAGGCAGACCCAGAGGACGCAGCACGCTTTCTAACTCGCACACAAGGTGCAGTCCACTGGCCAGGCCTCGTGACCAGCGGCCTTTGTCCACCGCCTGCACACCTTCTGAAATCGCACGGAAGTCCCCCGGGGGGGGGGGTGCGGGGGGAGAGTACGCCTGTGCTCACACCTCACCACCACTGCCGTCCTGCCGTCCACACCTCCCCTCCCCTCCCCAGCATGAGTTTAGAAAGCCATGAGACGGAGCCAAAGCACACAGCCACTCTTCCCTCTCGAATGTTCCTAGACCCACACTAGTCCTTGCTAATTCAAAGTGGGTGGGTATTTTACCCTTCTAATTTGATGTTACAGTCAATCATTCTGAGGTCGATGACTACACTGGGCTAGAGTAAACAGATCTTTTCATGACGAATGGAAAGGGGCTAATAAAATGTGACGTGTAATTTATCCATAAAAGGAGTCAGGGAACTTTGCTTTCAGGACTTAGGTGGAGCGGGCCCTGCTGGCCAGGCCATGGCTGCACACACTGGCATGGCACCGCCCTGTGCGCTCTGCATTTACTGGGAATCCGTCTTCCACTGACTCGGGGTCGGAGCAGCAAAGAGCTATTCTCTCCACCCTGAAGGTCATCACACGTAGCTCTTAGTTCTGTATCTCCATTCATTTCCACATTTCATGCATCAAAACAACAGCAAAAGAAAACCCGTAACAGCAAACCTGCTGCCTAACAGCACTGGTCAAATACTTCAGAATAAAGAATCACTTACATGCAATGCACACCCAAAAAGCAATAAATGCTCCCCTAGAAAGGATGATAAATCACCGTGTCACTTGATATTTTAAGATGTTAAGTATCTGACTTCTAGAGAAAATAACTGATCTATCAATTCCTCATTATTAGTATGTCAGCTTAATTAATTCTAGCTTTTCTGATTTCTATTTAGTCACACAGCAAGCAAATGTTCGTGGAGTTCTTAGTAAATCTTCAACTGTATTCTAGAAATGGGTGCCACGTGTCGTCACAGCGCCTCGAATGTCTGTCTTTACCTCGAATAACGTAGCTATCCAGGGCGGCTTCCATTCTCTTCAGTGCTTCAGTTCTGTCGGTGCCATAGGTGATCAGCTAAAGGCAAACGAACACAGAAGGATTCGCAGAGGTACAGAGCAGTCTGGCAGGCTTTAAGTCAAGCAATGTATTCTAGCAAAAGTTAGAGCATTTATAACAGATTTCCCAGACTTCTTTGGATTTCAGTGCTTCCTTTTTAATACAAAGTATTAAGATTCCTATTAAGTAAATATAAAATGGAATCAAGTTATTTCAGACTCTTCTCTGACATCAGGTATCACAGAAAAGTACTCGATATTTAAAAAGGCAGCAAAAACAAGCAGCACACGCTGGGAAAGAAAGTTGGCAAAATGTGGACATTTGGAACAGGACGTGCAGAGCCAGCTGGGGAGTGCTGGGCAAAGGCTTCTCTCGCCCAGATGTGCGTGGTCTGAGCCCCTGGCCACGAGCTCGCACACAGGACATCACACAGAAGAAGAGGCTTCTTACTCTGGAAAACCAGGAAGGTGTCACAGTTCCATGTGCTGAGTGTATCTGTCGTCTAAGACCAGTAATAAAAACCGAAACTATTCGTCAGATATTTTTCTGGTTTTTAGTCAGTATGCGTCTGTGATGAATTTAGTAGACCGCATGAGCTCTTCATTACTAAGCCAAGTTGAAAATTAATTTACAGGTCATGTTTCTGAAAACAAATTCATTCCTCTAAAAATGGAGCCATCTCCATTAATGCTGATAATTTATGCATTTATTTTTTTAATTAAATAGCATTTTCCTAGTTAAAAGAAAAAATTCATCTTCATTTTAACAACATTAATGTAAACACTGAAGTGAAAAAAAATAAAATACTTTAAATGGTCTGTTCGCTACCACTGCAGAAAAAAGGACCTTGGGACAAAGCAAACTTGAGAAATAGGGTTTTTCACCTCAGGCAATGTTTATTCCCACTGCATGTGCTGGGCTGGAGCCCTGGGGTACGAGTTGCCCCTGTGGGACAGGAGGGTGGTTACACGCCACTAGGGAGGATGGGGTGCTGCAGACCACATGATGTGGGAATTTCTCTCGTGGGGCCTCCCTGGTGGCGCAGGGGTTAAAGCCTCATTTAGCGCTATGAAGCTGTCTCCAGCCACTGCAGCATGAGTTTGCTCCCCGGCCAGGGAGGTCACCCACATGGTGCAGCAGACCTCTCCTGTCTCCCCGCCGCTCCCCTCAGCAGTGTACTTCAGTAGATCTGCCTGTTCTGCTCCCCACTCTGTCTCTGGTGAATCCCCTCACCTACCCCCCACTTCTGGCCTGTACCCCAGCTTTTATCTGCATAAATAAATTTTTTTAAATCTTTAAAAAAGAAGACACTTCTCTCTTAAGAGAAAACCTGTTCTGTGTTCATTTCCCATCAGTGCATGATTACTGATTTAATTTCAGACTTTACTAATTACTAATTAAACGTGTCCACTGCCTTGACAGAAGAAAACGGAAAGAAACCAAGAAGAAATTAAACTAACTTTTGAAATCATTGGATCATAATAAATGCTAATATCGCTTCCTGGTTGGATGCCGCTGTCAACCCGGACCTGAGAGAAAGAAAAAGAGAAAAAAAGAAAGTAACTATATTACGCAGGCATTTTTCTAGCATTTTTCTAGCCACGAGTTTAAGCTCCATGGGGCAGGGGCGTCATCTCGATCTCAAACACCGAGTCAGTCTCTAGGACACGGAAGACCACCCACGACTGTGGTCGCTCGTTGGTCTGATCGGCTGCGACGCGGAGCGCGGACACACGTCGTCTCTCCCACGCCATGAACGGAGGGCGCATGGCCAGAAAACACGTCCGCAGGGAAGGCCACGGCGCGGCCCGGGACGCGCACTGGGACTGCCCGCGAGCCCTGCGCCCCACACTCCCTCACCGTCCCGCCGTTTCAACAGGACCCCGGCGAGGCCCACCCGACTCTTCTTGGGGCTGTCGTATCTGTCACTTTCCTTTCTTGCCTCACCCTCTACTGCAGAGGCCTTTTCTCTGTGACTATGAGTCCCTGGAGGCTGGAATGTTTACACAGCTTTTCTCGTTGCTCTGCCATGTCAGGACACAGCCCCAATTAGAGTTCTGATTCTGCGATTTTCATGGAGGAGGAAAAATAGCACAAGTTCAAAATACTCTTTTGAAGATTCTGATTGCTGTTAAGCAGCCAACAAGTTAGTCAGTACATCGCTGACTCTTGTTTGCGTCTCCCAGTTTGAGTCCAACAGCAAGCCACAGAGGTTAGCCATGCAAAACTTCCCAAATGAGCAGTTGCTGAGAAGGAAATATTTATTAAACTATTGCGCCTAAGTTTCGGAATCTGAAGTATTTCAAAGCTCATCAAAATACTCAGGACTGTCGAGCAGAGCCCAGGGTCTTAAGGAGAGAGGAATTTCATCAGAGCCACTGACAGCAGGGCTCGGCGCCCACACTGCGAGGGGGTGGGGAGAGAGGGGCCCCTCCACAGCTCTTCACCTGTGGAAGGAAGGCTTCGCAATAAACAGCAGCTCATCTGTCTGCAGCAAGGCAGGAAAAGGTCAACACAGCGGCTGTTAGGCCTTTAATATTTTAATTTAGGCAATTATCAAGGGACCGCATGTAGAACCTCTTGTCTAGGGTAGCCACATGAGGAAAGGATGATGGCTTTATTATACGCTGACATCAAAAGATAAAGCATAGTTTCATTCTTTTAAAACAAGTCACACGACTATTATTCTCCTTGTAAGCTTTGAGAAGGTAATCTCAGCACTTTTATTTCTGTATTTGCAAACACCAACCAAAATACGGTCATTTGTATTTGCATACACATTCATCTGGGAAAATCTTAATTTTAAATTCAAGTGGCTCAGCGCACTTAAAATATACTTGGTTTTCTATTTTCTGAAAGCCACATTCAGCAGGTCATAAACTGACGGTCTATGAAATTCACAAGGTTTTGAAAAACCAGGAAAGAGTGAGTGGGGCAGCTGTGGAGGCCATGAAATCATAACCAAAGTTCTCCCCGCATTTCATAACCCCAAAGCGGCAACTGGTAATCAAGTAACTTAACAGAAAAGACATCTCTAAACTTGCATTTTCTTACTTTTTAGTAGCAAAAAGTTTAAGAGCTAATTTCACTTCCATGCGTTACTTAAAATTATAGCAAGTTCGCTAAAGTTGTGCTTAACACTGAGGTTGGTCCAGGATCTAAACTGTTGATTTTAGACATATCCTAATAGTTGCTGCATAGATTGCTACAAAATCAGAGTGGAACTCTGATAGTCAACCCACTGGCAAAATAATGTGGACAGTACCTATTACATGCTTTTATCGTTCCTAGTTAAACTCTTTAATAACCTTGCATAACACCATCCTAAAAGTTAGGTGACTGTGGACCAGATCTAACTATGTCTTTGTTACTTACTAGCAGCATGATAGCAAAAGGCGTGTCACTTAATTTAAAAAAAAAAAAAAAAGGGTAAAATCAAGTGAATTATATACAATACACAAATTATCTTTGTATAAGCAAGTCAATATTCCAATTTAAAGCCATAACAAAATATGAAAACTCTTGCTTATACTTTTCTATTTATGCAGGTTTTCTATGTCATCGGCTTTTGCTTTCTAAGGACTCCATTCCACCCAGGAAGCAAAGGCCCTGTTTAAAAAAAAAAAAATGTATAGCTTAACTCTGGCACTTAATCTTCAAGCATAAAGGCAAACAGCCTGCAATCAAATATTTGAGCAGAGCAAAATCTGCAGTCTAAAGATAACAAATATACCAAGTATAGTGATCATAGAGAAAAAGAAAATGTCCATCTCGGCCACATAAATATATGTTAAGCTTAAAGAAGCTGTGCAAGCGCAGCCCCTGTGTATTCCTGTGGCCCAAAAAAGGGTTAAGAGTGAAAAAGAGTTCCCTAAGCTGCAGCGGATGTAGCTGAAGAAGACAAGGAGGGAGAACAAACATCATCACCCCAGGCACCTGCGCATGAATCTCAAACCATTGCTCAGAATGGCAGGATTCAAGCATCCTTCTCCCGCGCCAACCGTGGGCCCCGTGAAGCTCCCACCCTTCATTCTCCATTCACCTCTCCCCCTCCACACAACTCCCAGTCCGCCGTGTCTACCTGACAAGTGACAGCCCAATCTGATTAAATGCTTCCAAGGGAGGGGACTCGTGGGCCTCCATGACAGGCCAAAAGTGATCACCATGGAGATACATAATTACAGCTGTCAACGCATCTACTGTCCTGCTGACATCAATTTGATCGCTCCCAGCAATAATGATAGACAAAGCTTAGTGTGCGCTCTCCCGCACCCAATCACTTTATCTATTCCTCGGTCCATTTAGCTGACATGCAACATTCACACAAGCAAATAACAGCAGTAAGCAGAACATTTAAGGCATTTTAATTGTTTTTTCTTTCTATGGATGGCTCACAACCGCAAATGTTATTACATAAAACTCCTGCTGCAGCATTAATTGAAGAAAGATTTGGTGGGACCAAGACTGTAGGGGGTACAGTTTGTCCATTATCACTTGTACTTTCAACAGGTCTCACGTTTGAAAATTGCAAATTGCAAAAACTTGCGAGGGCAAAATGTTTGACATCCTGTTAGCTATTACAACATGGTGAAAACTTCCAACAACTAGAGTAGTCATTATGAATTCTTAGTTAATACTTTTTTGTTTGATTAAAAAAATGTTTAGATATGTCCCTATGACACTTGTCTTCTCATCTGCTATTTAACGTCACATAATGCCTGTTAAATCTTTACAATTTTTTTTTTCTGCCTCTAGGCTTTGAACACAGCATGGAGTCTCCCAGCCTAGAAAGGGTCAAGTCCCTTTAGAAAGCACATGGGCAAAAACAATTTAAAAAGTGAAATAAATCATATATCCCATAACATCCTCAAATGTAGAATTCTTCCTGTAACCCTTCCGCCAGCGCTCAGACTGAGTGATCATATTCGCAGATGGGACGGCGGTGTCACCCACTAGCTGGCGTCCTGACATGGATGCGTGCACTTACTGCCTTGATTAAGAGAAAGGCTGTGTCCTTGTTCTTTTGATGCAACGAGAACTATTTAAAGAACAGCTAGGAAACAGAGAACAAAGTGGGCAGAGATGACTTTCTTTAACTGATGTAAACAATAAATTCTTCCTGAACTCCCTGACACTTACAGAAGGAGACACGATTCGTCTTCCTTAATCCGTGTCAATTAACGAGCTAATTTTGGGCTTGAGTTTCCTGACATCCAACTCGACAGAGAAGTGGGATTAAATTCATTGGAAAGATTAAATTGCAACACAGAATAGTCATTCTCAGGCTTCCACGGTCTTTTTTCATTATAATTTCTGAAAGAAGTAGGAACACTGAACAATCATTTATTTCCAAGTTGGCTGTCTCTGGACTTCCCCTGCCAATTGGCTTCTGGCTTTCCCGCACATCACAAAGTACAAAATATTTTTTCTTGAAGGTTGTGGTTCCCTGTGAATTTCATTTCAATTTAGGCCCTTTGGGGGTCTATGCTTTAACAGAAGAGCATGACATAAATCAAAAGTTTAACCCCCTCACTTGATATTACAGCTTAATGACTTACACCAGGAAGATGCACTGGCTCTTGGTACTGAGACAATCTCCCGATGGACGGCAACCCGAAAGACTTGTAGGGGTCCTGAAAGTTCAAAGGGAAGGAAACACAGTCTTTGAAATACGAATCAGCACAAGTAAGGTCAAGTATTTCTATAATGAAGGAACATCTACAGATATATTTCATCCTACAGTATTTACAAAATCACAGATTTCAGGACATTACTGTCCAATCCTCACTCTAGACCACTCAGCAGTGTATTTAAAAATCTTAACAGAACCGCAGGCAAAATTTAGTCTGACCTTGATTGTACTTTATTGAAACTGGTACAATTCCAACTTTTATAAATCTTCAAATGCCGCGGGCAAAAATAAAATAACCTAGGCACTACATCAAAACATATTCAAGTTCAGAATAACACATGTAGTGCACTAAAGCTATTTGTTTTTCTTGCTTTCAAAATGGCTCACATATGGTAAAACTGGAGAATTATGGCTTTTCAAATGAAAACCTTCGAAGCAACTTTGCACACGTTACTAGGAATATACTCCACTGGTAAATGCCTTAGATGGTCAGAATAGATGTTAAACAAGCCCAGTATCACAATAAAAAAAAAAAACTACCACTTAAAGTACAATAAAGTATAATAAAAAGCAAGACCAGCTAAGCCAAACACATTTCGCCAGACCCTTAAGAAGCATTTCGATGAAATAGCCAGTATTCTTCAACAGAAATATTGCTGAATTTATTTTTTATTTCAGCTGACAAGGCTCACTGTGTAAAAGCATAAATGTTTCCTTGCATTCTTGCTTTAGTCACATGAAAAAAATGCCATTTTCAGTGGCTGACTATCAAATTTACATAGTTTAAGGTAACATAAAGATACTAAACTGAGAGTATTCAGCTATGAGTTGAAAATCCACTAAAATCCATAGTTAAAACTGAGTCCAAAGTTTTATTAAAAGTTTTGGATTTAAATGTGCTACTTTCATGCAACAATAAGGGATACATTATTAGAAAAAAATACTGGAAATCATTTTCTAAAAAAACCACAGAAATAAATACTCGTGTTTATTTTAATGTGGTTTGAAAATAAGCAAACTAACACAAAGAGAACAAAAACCACAATCCATTGAACCACAAAAATATTCCACTAATGCTTTGTTGCCTCTTAAATGGATTGGTAGTTATTTCTCTTTTCAGAAACTATACATGAAAATTAATTAATCTCAGTCTTCAAAAACGGTTTTGATTTGTTTCCAAGTGAACCATTTTTGCCTGGTTCCGTTCTGGATTACATCACCGAGGACACAAAACCAGTCCCAAAAGCCTAACTTGACCTTATGGCTTCACCACACCTGGTCCCATGACCGGGCGCCCAACCCCCAGCCTCCCTCCCAACATCATCCATTTTACCTCAGCATAGACCCGACATTCAACTGCCCAGCCGTTGATGGGAATATCAGCTTGTTTGTGCCTGAGAGGGTAACCCTTGGCAACACGGATCATTTCTTGGACTAGGTCCAGACCAGTAATGCATTCGGTGACAGGATGCTCAACCTGCAAAGCCAAGATCTGCCCGTCAGTGGGTGCAGGAGGTGGTTCATGGGTAGGAAGATGCAAGGATAGTTTTACCGACTTCAGCGTAAAGTGAAGTTAATTACATTTAACATGTAATCTTCTGTGACTAGGAAAATGAGAAAATAAAATGAAAGCATCCCCACAATACACTCCAAAGCATCATCAGGAAAACACCTAAAACATATTTGTAAACTAGCTTCTTACTCTTCCCAGATTCCTTAATTCAACGTGGTCTGCAGCGTCAAACAATTCTCATTTTAAAAGAAATTGCTAACTGAAAACTAAAAATCACATCTTCAGCTGCGATCGTCGGCAGCTCACTGTGAGCCTATCCTGCTGCACTTAGCCCGGCATCCTCAGAGGCAGCATCTGATCTTCCAAAGCGCCCGGCCAGCCTAGCCTCACCCACTCGCATGCTTTCACTAACCTGTCCTGACAAGCAAGCAGATTAGCGTGCGCTTGCATCAAGGCAGTGTAGCAGAAAGGAGCAGATGGGTCCGGCAGGTTGCGAGCCCCGCAGACCTGCGTCGGGAGTGCTTAGCAAGCACACTTGCACGGAGAGCCAGGGAAACCACTCTGCTCTCTCAGCAAACTGCTGCTGCCTCCTCCCGAGGCTACTGTCATGGGGATCCCCGGCCCCCAGAGCACATGGGACACACATGGGCGGAAACCTGCGCCCACGTACCCGGAGACGCGAGGCAGTCACTCCCAAGCTCCTAAACTTGACCGGGCAAAAAATAAAACCCGAGGGCAGCGGTAAAGGAGCAGAGGGCCCCTCTTGCGTTGAAGACCTTGAATAAGTTTTCAAAATTTCAGTAAAACTTTGACCGCATCTGCAGCTCTGATATCAGTTGTTTCCCTAAAATTTAAGCTTCTTCTACATGCACCTCACAACAGTTTCTTTATCAAGACACGTCACGTCTCATACACTCTGACACGGGAAAAGGTCAGTGAACAAGCGAATTGTCTTTCCAGCTCCAACTACACTAATTGAAGGACAGGACTTAGTCATTATAATCATCTTGAAGCTTATCATGAGCAGACAATGCCATGGTCTTAAAAAAAAAAAAAAAGAAGAAGAAGCTATGTAAAAATAAACAGATGGCGTCCATAATTAGCTCTGTGTGTGTTATGAGTTTGTTTACAGTTTCAACAACATTTTCAGACATTTTGACATAATTTTAATGACAAATCATCACTAAAATAAGCATCTACACTTTGTAAAATAAATGTGGTGCTAAATAAAGATCTTATTAGTTTTTTAAAATATATATATTTTGAGAGAAAACTGGGGTTTTGCAAGAAACAAGACTCTGATATAAGAAACCACCATAAAGTCCCTCTATTCCTGCTAGAAACTTCACGTGAGAGAACATCTGCCCACTGTGTCCACTCAAGACGCGAACCCAACATGCCGAGGGCCTGATAGCTGCAGTAGCCATGTCCTGTGAGGTGAGAAAATTGTAGCAGTAAGTGAATTATTTAATTTCACCTTTCTATGTTTCGTGCCCAGAAAAGCACATGCCGTATAGTGGCCAAATAAATGTACACTGAGTGAACAAACGGAGAGCAACTCCAGAATTGCCCTCGAGTGGGTAGCAGAGGCAGGGTGGGGATCTCTGTCCTTCGGAGGGCTGCTGCTCCTGTCTTCCCGGGGAAATGCCCATGGAAGCCTGCCGCAGACACCAGGGCTGCGGGATTCTGTGCTGCTGTCTTTTAAAGATCACTGGCATACAAGTTTAAAAAAACCAAATTCATGGGCCCTCCCGGGTGGCGCAACGGGTTAAAGCCCAGCACTATGAAGCTGTCCCCAGCCCCTGCAGCACGAGTTCAATACCGGCCAGGGAGTGACCCCCATGGCGCGGCAGACCTCTCCTGTCTCCCTCTGCTCCCCTCAGCAGTGTATTTCAGTCAATCTGCCTACTCTGCTCCCCACTCTGTCTCTGATGAGCCCTCTACCCCCTATACCTCTGGCCTGTACCCCAGTTCTTGTATGCATGAATAAATCAATCTTTAAGGGAAAAAAAAAACTTGAATTCATTAAAAGACCTTAGACAGCCGCTCTGTGATTGGGTAGAACCAGGAGAACACGCCCGGAGAGAATGGGACCTAGAGACTGACTTCAACCCCTGGTAGTTATGTAACAGAACATATCCGACATTTTATTGTCTAAATTAGTGAGCTGCAACTAGTTAAAAAAAATAAGTAGATAACTAAAATAATAACTGCGCAAGGTAAAATCATGACTTGGAGTATTTTAAATATCCAAGTCAGTTCAAGTTTGTTTTTTTTTTTTAAGATTTATTTATTTATACATACAGAACTGGGGTACAGGCTAGAGGTGCAGGGGATGAGAGGATTCACCAGAGACAGAGCGGGGAGCAGAACAGGCAGATGGACTGAAATCCACTGCTGAGGGGAGCAGTGGGGAGACAGGAGAGGTCTGCCGCGCCATGTGGATCAGCTCCCTGGCCGGGGATCAAACTCGCGTTGCAGTGGCTGCGGTAGCTTCATAGTGCTGTGTTTTAACCCACCAGGGAGGGCCCAGTTCAAGTATTTTTACACTTCATAAAACCGACAAATGTTTGAATTTTTCAGTAACGAGTTTTGTTTTGTTTTTTTTTTAAGTACAACTACCACTAAACTTTTTCGCAGGAAATCTTTCTCCACACATTTTAACAGAATCCAAAGTGGCTCAATAGGGCACTAGAAACATTTCCTGCAGACCCTGTTCTGTGATTGTGAGGCATCTTGTAGCATTGTTTAAGCGGCCATTATTGAACCCTCCCCCAACCTCACAATTCAGACAGAATTTCGTCTGCAAGTTGAAGAGGTGAAGCAAAACCTTGTCCCTGCTCACAGAAAAATCTACAAAGCCCCATGGAAATGACATGTACCCCGAGGGGGGCCCTGAAGGACACACTGAGGGAACCTACACTGAGCCAGCTGTTTCCATGCACCTGGGCTGGCCGAGAGGAGGGGCTCGCATTCGCAGGAGGCACTTGCAGGACCAAGTGCACCCCCCTTCTCCTGCGAGCGGATTCATGGATGAGACCTTGCTGAACACGAGTCTTTACACACTCAAGTACAAAGTGAGTGCCTTTCTTGTGACTTTATCGTCACCAAACAAATTTGAGAACTTGGCTTCACACCTAATTTTCCCACCCAATGGAAATACCCGCTGCTTCCAAGAAATGTGAACAGAGGTCTCCCCGACGGGACAGTCACTGATTGGAGATGAACGGACTGGCGCTCTAGTGCACGGATTCTGTGATGCTGAGAGCAAAAGTGAATCCTAACCAGCACCACAGAAAGAAATCAGCCATGCGAGCACAAAGTGAATCCTACCAGGTTAGGATTCTGAAGCCCTAACTGCAGCGTGCTGAGTGGGGGGTGGCACCCCGGCCGGGGCCCTGCCGGCTCCCTCAGCTGGTGGCTTGCACTGGCGTGCTCCACACGGCCATGAGCCATTTGCTCAAGCAGGTACAAACCAGCACCACCGTCCTCTCCCCTCTCCGTCTCAGGACAGGGCACCCTCCCTGGGGCCGCTCTGCCTGGCCACACACAGCTGCTCTCAGAGACCCGCTAGCTGTTTCGGTTTGGTGGTGTCGTCGTGGTCACCAGCAAGCTGTCGCCACTGTCACTGTGTCTAGACCTCTTGCCACTCTCTTATCCTAATCTGTCACTTCAAATGTATTTTCCCCCCAAAAATAAATAACTGAACTTGTCAAATGTAACAGTAAGTAAATTAGAACCTCTGAATTCTTAATCAAACTTCAGGAATAATGAACTTAGAAAAATGAAATCCTTCTGGCACTGGGTTTTCACGATCGCCCTTCAAGATTCTAAAATTATCGTCATAAATTCTGACACTGTTAGTGTAATCCTTAGCTGTATTCCTCATTAAATACAAACTTGGAAGTATCTGAAACTAGTGAGTGAAAGTATGATGAGATCTTCCCGGGGTCTCCCCACGTGCCCCTAGAAGGGGCCCAAGAACGAGGAGCCAACATCGTAGTCAGGGCTAAAGATGCCGGGGGCCCTGGGGGTGGGGGGTGGGGGCAGAGGATCGCCAATTCTGAAGTATTCCTGCCGAAAGCCCGAGTCCAGACAGAGCCAAGAGAAAGCAAGTGCAAAACAAGGGGCACCCCATAAAACCACCTCAGCTCTTCTCAAAAGAGTCAAAAACAGACAAAAACAGCAATGACCACTTCAGACGGCGAGCACAGAGACACGGCAGTGGTGCGAGTGAGGCCTGAGCCTCTAGGTTTTGACTTTACGACACAAGACAGAAAGGGACATCTGGTGAACTGTGACTACGGGATGTAGGTCAGGTGACAGCAGAAGGTCAGGGCGACTGCCCGGACTTTGTAATGACTGTGTGATGTAAAGGGCTTTCCTTGTTTTAGGAAATTCGTGTTTAGGGATAAAGGGCTACTCTGAAATGCTCAGGCAAAGCAGACGGATCTATGGATGTGTGTGTAAAAGCATAAAGCACACATGACATTTCCTATTAATGAAGATGTTCTTTGTAGTATTTCTGTGCCTCAGAAAGCACTCCAGTTAAAAGTTAATAAAACTAAAGCAGTGCATTAGACGGCTTTTTGGTTTTGTATACTATAAAATAATATTACATAGTATGGTATGTAAGAGAAAAACAATACAATCGTAAAACAAAGACACCTGACTTGGTCGGCATTATTTTCTCTTTCATGAGAACCCTCCCACTAGGTTAAAAATAATCGAAAGCAGATAATGTATTCCATGTCTTCTGACTTAAAGTTTGAAATATTCTAGCGAGCTTTTTCCCTAGTAATCTCTAGGACCGTAAGAACGAGTCATTTGGTAACAGGCAAGATGCAGGCAGACCTAAACTACACACTCAACAGTCAATGAAAGTAACACAGGGAAGCTGAAGAGAAAACAGTCCCAGTTCGGAGGGACTTGCCGTGGGAAGCGGGATGCCTGGCCACTGCAGA